ACTAATGCTGTTGACCCTTGTAGGAACTGTTGCGTTATACATCCTCCCATTCCCCGCTCTTACGTCGTGCAGAAAAAAAGAGACCAATTCGTGCAAATGGAAGTCAGCCATGGGAAAAAAATATCCCCGCTTTACGTTGTTTCGCTGTCCACCCCATGTTTTGCAACATATCTTGGGTCTACAGTGGGGGAAGCCCTGCAGTGGGAAGACGCTATTTTGATGTTGTAAAATCAGGAGTTTATTAAGTCAAATTTAGTGATGTTGAAATCGTTTCCTAGTGTAGACACGGTCTCTGGGTGCACTAACTCTGCAGACACTGCACTCTGCCATGCACAACTGCCTCCTTCCCCTCCCCTCCAGCAGGGTGGGAAGGGCAGCTGAGCTAGCTTCCAGGGGCACACAGTCCCATCCTCTCCACCTACCCTCTCCCCCCCACACCGAACCTGGTCCGATGGCAAGGCCTCCTTCTTCTGCGGGCTGCATCGAGAGCTCGGTTGCTGTGGGGTGAGGCACGTTTGGGCTCGGCAGGTGCAGCAGAGGCCACTTGTGGTGCTACATTTTAATACCCAGGTCCCAGTCCCCGCGGGCGACTCCACCTCCAGCTGTAGTCGAGCGGCAGCCAGCGCATCCACAACCCGTTGGGTCAGCCTCACAGGAATGGGCCTCTTGCAGCTGCCGCTTGACTACAGCCCCAGGGCCGGTCCACAACATTTTGCCCTCTGAGGCATGGAGCTCAAATGACCCCCCCATGCCTGCTTTTTTCCTGTCTGCCTGTTATGTCCCTTGTGCCCTCCTTCCTCCAGCACAGCACTCCCCCATCTCTGTGCATCTAGATCAGTTGGGTCAGCCTCACAGGAATGGGCCTCTTGCAGCTGCCGCTTGACTACAGCCCCAGGGCCGGTCCACAACATTTTGCCCTCTGAGGCATGGAGCTCAAATGACCCCCCCATGCCTGCTTTTTTCCTGTCTGCCTGTTATGTCCCTTGTGCCCTCCTTCCTCCAGCACAGCACTCCCCCATCTCTGTGCATCTAGATCAGAGGGAATACATCTGCACCAGCAGCAGACACAATTTTCTACACTCTGGGTCCTAGTGGTGCCCCCCCACAGTCTGGCACCTGAAGCGGCCACCTCAGTTCACCTCATGGTAAGGCCAGCCCTGTTGGGAGTACTGCTGAGTCTAGTGGGGTATTATTAGTTAATTGCTGGGAGAGTGCATAGTGCTTCATAAAAGTATCATTGGCAGAGCATGTGGCCGCATGGCAGATGTCTCTGAGGGGAACCTTGGGGAGGAAAGCTGTGGATGCTGCAACAGCTCTTGTGGAATGAGCTCTAGGTGTGCCCAGAAGTGGTTTATTTTGGAGGGTGTAACACTTAGTCTTAGAGTCTGGAGACGGGTTGAGAGAGAGCCAGGAATGATGCTCAGAATCAAGCCTCTGCTAGTGAAGAAAGAGGAAAGTTTCTCATGCAAGATGGGCTGTTGTACAGGGAGCCCGCCCAGGGAAGGAAGGTTCCCAGGCAGCAACTCGCAGGCAGATGGTGGTGCCTGAAGTGTATCACGAGGAATCATTGAAGTTGGCTCCTGGCGGTACATTTGCAGGGCATCTGGGCATAGGCAAAACTTGTGACAGGCCAGAGCAGAACTTCTATTGGCCTCATATGTTCAGGTCAGTGAGGGAATATTGCAGACACTGTTAGTTGTGCCAGAAGTGTAAGGGACCAAGGGGGCTTATCAAAGCCCCCCTGCAGCCTCTATCTGTCATTGGGGAGGCCTTTACCAGGAAAGGGTGAATGAAGTGACCTATGATGTGAGGAAGGCCCGTATCCAGGGCGTGTGCAGACGGTGCACGTTAACAGGATGAAGGAGTACCTGGAGAGGGAGGTAAACGTGAACATGCTCTGTTGTGCTGAGGAGGAGGCCATGTCAGTCTCTTTGGTGGATATGCTGGCTGATGCCTCTTGAGAGCATAGAGATAGGGAAAGGCTTGACTCCCCCCCAGGGGAAGGATTTGCTGGTGCTGCTGAAGCATCACCAGGGAACATTCTCCAACAGGCCGGGGCTCACTGACAGAATAACGCATTCTATCCACATGACAGGGCCTAGAAGAGCCCACAGGCCAAAGGGAGAGATGCAGAGGCAGCTTCAGGGGGTGGAAAACATGTTGGCAATGGGCATAATCACCAAACCCTCAAGCCCCTGGGCATCCCCTATTGTGATGGTGCCTAAAAAGGACAGGACCATGAGGTTCTCTGTGGCCTATAGGAAGCGGAATGTTATCACCCTTTCCCCACCCCCAGAAGAGGATCTGTTAGACACGGTGGAGGAGGGGAGTGAAGTTTATAAGTACTCTGGATCTGACATGGGGTACTGGCAGATTCCCCTAGACGTGGATGTGAGGGAAAAGTCTGCCTTCATAGTGGAGTCTGGCCTGGATAAGTTCAAGGTGCTGCCCTTCAGCATGTGGAACACTGGGGCCACCTTCATGAGGCTGATCAATGAGGTCCTGCAGAGAGAGGAGGGTTTTGCGAGGGCTTATATCGACCACCTGGCCATCTTCAGCAACTCCAGGCAGGATCACCTCGATCACATAGTGGTGGTGCTGCAGCGCATGGGGGAGGCCAACCTGACTGTCAAGGAGTCCAAATGCAGGATGGGGGCTGCCGAAGAGACCGACCTGGGACACAAGGTGGGCAGTGGGTTGGTGCACCCTGAACCTCTGAAGGTGGAGGCCATTACAAAAAAGCAGGTCCAGTTGTTTGTGGGCCTGGCCAGCTAATACAGGAGATTTATGAGGAGGTTCAGTGACATCATAGCTCCAATCACAGACCTCACAAAGAAGAGGCCAGACCAGGTGGTGGGCTCAGAGGCCTGTGAACAGGGGTTCCAAAGTATAAAAAATGCCTTGGCCAAGGAACCTGAGCTGGCCAGCCCAGATTTCAACAAGCCCTTTTTGTTGTGCACCGAAGCTTCCAACATTGGACTGTTATTTTGAAATCAATTTTGAAATAATGGGCGTGCTATTCTGGCATCCTTGTAATCCTTGTTCCACAAGGGTTAAGGAATGTTTCGGAATAGTGCTTTTTTTTTTGGAATTTGGCGCTGTCTGGATGCACCCTCAGTGTTCCAAGTTCTGTACTGAAATAGCCTCCATTTAGCAATAATACTAGCCTGAAACCATTTACACCAGTACAGCTTGGGAACCAAATACATACAACAAATTAAATGCACGGTAATGAGATCATACCAATAATGCAGAGTACGTAAGCTGCACAGTAATGAGATACTGTAGTAATAAATAAGAGTAGCCAATGCACCCAATTCAGAATTTCAGACAGCAGAGGGGGCCATTGTGCTTAACCTGTTTAAAAGAAGTGAAAAAAAAAAAGTATGACCATAAGCTTCAGGGGTAGCCGAGTTAGTCTGTACAGGATAAAGTTAAACAACCAATGGTCTGGTAGCACTTTAAAGACTAACGAAACATGTAGATGGGATCATGAGCTTTCATGGGCACAGCCCACTTCTTCATATTGTTAGAAAAAAACCTGCTCCCCCAGTAAAAAAGTTTGGCCAGGTTGCTCTTTTTATAGTGGGCTGTAGTACTCCTTGGGAGAAACCGGCGGCATCATTCCTGCATACCATTGCCTTTAGAAAAAAGGGAAGGTGTGAAAAGGGGAAAATAGCCTCAGACTCTCCCACCTGTCACCTTGGCGTGAGAACTGCGGGGCTTACCTGGCGTGAGAAATGCGGGGCTTACCTGGTCGCATGAAACCTGCTCAGTTTCAGCCCAACCCCTGGGACACAGACCCCCCACTTGGTGACCATTGGGCCATATATGGTAATATGCAAGCGCGGGAAAGCGATGTGCAGATTTGGGGATAAATACCCATCGCACAGTTCGCTCAAGGAGGTCTTCGTAACACACGTACCAACATGCGTGTGCCTTCCCATATACTTCAAAGCGCTGCCGGCCTGATCAAACGACCAGCCACCTCCCTCGACTTTTGGGCGTAACCAAGGCCTTTGCAACCAAACCGATATCTTTGTAATGTTCCATGTGCTGTATAAGTTGGTATGTATGATTTGATTTTCTTTGTTGTATAAGCTTAGTGTTGTAGTTGTTTTTGGTAGTATATAGATTTTGTAGTTATCACTGTTATTTAATTAGTGTAGCTGGATATCTTTAGAATA